TTCTTTTGATTTTCCCATGATGTCAAGCAAAGAGGCACTGAGTTTGAAGGTAGGCCTTGAAATACATCCACAGGTACACTTCCAATTGACTCAAATGATGTCAATTAGCCTATCAGAAGCTTCTAAAGCCATGACATCATTTTCTGGAATTTTCCAAGCTGTTTAAAGGCACAGTCAACATAGTGTATGTAAACTTCTGATCCACTGGAATTGTGATACAGTGAATTATAAGTGAAATAATCTGTCTGTAAACAATTGTTGGAAAATTGACTTGTGTCATGCACAAAGTAGATGTCCTAACCGACTTGCCAAAACTATAGTTTGTTAATAAAAAATTTGTGGAGTGGTTGAAAAACAAGTTTTAATGTAAACTTCCGACTACAACTGTATATATATATATATATATATATATACACAAAAAAATATATATGGGGGATTGGAAATGATGCAGACAATTACATTGATGGAAGCTACAATCTATCTGCAATATTAAAGCTGATCTACCCCCTAAAAAAAACATTTGCTTACACTGATGTTGGGGCCTTGACAAACTTAATAGTGAGTGATGACCATGAAAACACACAAGACTGACTGAGAGTTTTTGTTCGGGTGGTTCAGTGAAACAATTATAGTTTCTGAGGTGGAAGTTTTGGTGAGGGAGGCCCTGCTCTCTCCTCTCCCAGATGTTTAGTTCATTTCATTCCGATCTCCTCTGCATTATTGTAGCCATTTGCTACAGCCTGTCAACTATGCCTCTGCCTATCCCTGTTCTCTCCTCTCTGCACAGGCTACACAAACGCCTCACACCGCGTGGCTGCTGCCTCTCTAACCTGGTGGTCCCTGCACGCACCCCACACCTGGAGTTCCAGGTCTCAGGCAGCCTCTGGAACTGCCGTTCTGCTGCCAACAAAGCTGACTTCATCCCAGCCTATGCTAACCTCCAGTCCCTCGACTTCCTGGCGCTGATGGAAACATGGATTCCCACTGAAAACACTGCTACTCCTACTGCTCTCTCCTCGTCTGACCATGTGTTCTCGCATACCCCGAGAGCATCTGGTCAGAGGGGTGGTGGCACAGGAATCCTCATCTCTCCCAATTGGACATTCTAAATTTTTCCCCTAACCCATCTGTCTATCTCCTCATTTGAATTCCATGCTGTCACAGTCACTAGCCCATTTAAGCTTAATATCCTTGTCATCTATCGCCCTCCAGGTTCCCTTGGAGAGTTCATCAATGAGCTTGACGCCTTGATGAGTTCCTTTCCTGAGGATGGCTCACCCCTCACAGTTTTGGGGGATTTCAACCTCCCTACGTCCACATTTGACTCATTTCTCTCTGCCTCCTTCTTTCCACTCCTCTCCTCTTTTGACCTCACCCTCTCACCGTCCCCCCCTACTCACAAGGCAGGCAATACGCTTGACCTCATCTTTACTAGATGCTGCTCTTCTACTAATCTCACTGCAACTCCCCTCCATGTCTCCGACCACTACTTTGTTTCCTTTTCTCTCTCGCTCTCCTCCAACACTACTCACTCTGCCCCTACACAGATGGTAATGCGCCGCCGCAACCTTCGCTCTCTCTCTCCCACTACTCTCTCCTCTTCCATCCTATCATCTCTTCCCTCTGCTCAATCCTTCTCCCTCCAATCTCCTGATTCTGCCTCCTCAACCCTCCTCTCCTCCCTTTCTGCATCCTTTGACTCTCTGTGTCCCCTATCCTCCTGGCCGGCTCGGTCCTCCCCTCCAGCTCCGTGGCTTGATGACTCATTGCGAGCTCACAGAACAGAGCTCCGGGCAGCGGAGCGGAAATGGAAGAAAACTAAACTCCCTGCCGACCTGGCATCTTTTCACTCCCTCCTCTCTACATTTTCTTCATCTGTTTCTGCTGCTAAGGCCACTTTCTACCACTCTAAATTCCAAACATTTTCCTCCCTGCTGAATCCCCCCCCCCTCCTCTCTCTCTGTGGATGACTTCGTCAACCACTTTGAAAAGAAGGTTGACGACATCCGATCCTCGTTTGTTAAGTCTAATGACACTGCTGGTCCTACTCACACTGCCCTACCATATGCTCTGACTTCTTTCTCCCCTCTCTCTCCAGATAAAATCCTGCGACTTGTGACTGCAGGCCGCCCAACAACCTGCCCGCTTGACCCCATCCCCTCCTCTCTTCTCCAGACCATCTCCGGTGACCTTCTCCCCTACCTCACCTCGCTGATCAACTCATCCTTGACCGCTGGCCATGTCCCTTCCGTCTTCAAGAGAGCGAGAGTTGCACCCCTTCTCAAAAAACCAACACTCGATCCCACTGATGTCAACAACTACAGACCAGTATCCCTTCTTTCTTTTCTTTCCAAAACTATTGAGCGTGCCGTCTTTAGCCAAATCTCTTGCTATCTCTCTCAGAATGACCTTCTTGATCCAAACCAGTCAGGTTTCAGGACTGGTCATTCAACTGAGACTGCTCTTCTCTGTGTCACGGAGGCTCTCCGCACTGCTAAAGCTAACTCTCTCTCCTCTGCTCTTGTCCTTCTAGACCTGTCTGCTGCCTTTGATACTGTGAACCATCAGATCCTCCTCTCCACCCTCTCCGAGCTGGGCATCTCCGGCGCGGCTCACTCCTGGATTGCGTCCTACCTGACCGGTCGCTCCTACCAAGTGGCGTGGCGAGAAGCTGTCTCCGCACCACGTGCTCTCACCACTGGTGTCCCCCAGGGCTCAGTTCTAGGCCCTCTCCTATTCTCCCTATACACCAAGTCACTTGGCTCTGTCATATCCTCACATGGCCTCTCCTATCATTGCTACGCTGACGATACACAACTAATCTTCTCCTTTCCCCCTTCTGATAACCAGGTGGCGAATCGCATCTCTGCATGTCTGGCAGACATATCAGTATGGATGACGGATCACCACCTCAAGCTGAACCCTGGCAAGACGGAGCTGCTCTTCCTCCCGGGGAAGGACTGCCCGTTCCATGATCTCGCCATCACGGTTGACAACTCCGTTGTGTCCTCCTCCCAGAGTGCGAAGAGCCTTGGCGTGACCCTGGACAACACCCTGTCGTTCTCCGCTAACATCAAGGCGGTGACCCGATCCTGCAGTTTCATGCTCTACAACATTCGGAGAGTACGACCCTGCCTTACACAGGAAGCGGCACAGGTCCTAATCCAGGCACTTGTCATCTCCCGTCTGGATTACTGCAACTCGCTGTTGGCTGGCCTCCCTGCCTGTGCCATTAAACCCCTACAACTCATCCAGAATGCCGCAGCCCGTCTGGTGTTCAACCTTCCCAAGTTCTCTCACGTCACCCCCCTCCTCCGCACACTCCACTGAGTTCCAGTTGAAGCTCACATCCGTTACAAGACCATGGTGCTTGCCTATGGAGCAGTGAGGGGAACGGCACCTCCGTACCTTCGGGCTCTGATCAGTCCCTACACCCAAACGAGGGCATTGCGTTCATCCACCTCTGGCCTGCTGGCTCCCCTTCCTCTGCGGAAGCATAGTTCCCGCTCAGCCCAGTCAAAACTGTTCGCTGTTCTGGCACCCCAATGGTGGAACAAGCTCCCTCACGACGCCAGGACAGCGGAGTCACTCACCACCTTCCGGAGACATTTGAAACCCCACCTCTTTAAAGAATACCTGGGATAGGATAAAGTAATCCTTCCACCCCCCCCCCCCCCAAAAAAAAATAATAATTGTAAAGTGGTTATCCCACTGGCTATAGGGTGAATGCACCAATTTGTAAGTCGCTCTGGATAAGAGCGTCTGCTAAATGACGTAAATGTGCCCTTGAGCAAGGCACTTAACCCTAATTGCTCCTGTAAGTCGCTCTGGATAAGAGCGTCTGCTAAATGACTAAAATGTAAATGTAAATGATGGCTATAGCTATGTTCAACAAGTACAGATGTAGGATCGTAATTTGATCACTCTTTTGTAGCTGAGAATGTTCCTGCGCAGCAAGAAATGCAAACTTGTAGTGTATTTGAGTGTATTCATTTCCACTTTGACATTTCAGACTTGATTTGCCGTAACAGAAAATGTATCAACCCCTACAAAAATGTCCATTAATTAGAATCCACATAATAATTCACATTATTTTCCTGCTGTAGCAAACTGGCTCAAATTAAGATCCTACATCTATATATTATTCTTCTGGTTTTATCTAGCTCTATTTGTGATATTTGACCTTGCCTCGCTGGCTTACTAGCGTGCTATGTAATCAATCCTCTGATGACATCTGCGAAATTGTAGACAATAACCATCTGATTACGCGTTTGTTAACTTGCACAATCTGCATTTGAAGTTGCATGTAATCGTATCCACTGCTAGGTAAACAAAGAGGTTTCTGATGATGAACTGCACGCGCAGCTTTTCATGACGCGGCCGGGAAATGGGTCTATTCAAGTACATACAGTACTTTGGTACAAGCCTTAGAAGGTCTCTCTATTTTTCTGTATGCCCTCTCTTGAAACTGTTAGTAGCAGGCGGAGCCCATAGCAAGTGTCTGAAGACAATCATAAAAAGTCTTACGTGTCCATGTTGTGGTGCGTGGAAGCGGGGGTTGTGGGGGGGTAGTCGAGGAGGAGGGGCGTGGCATGGTCCAGGGGTGTGTCCACCATACATAGAGCCCTGTTGTCTGGACTGGTAGTTCATTGAGTTGGAGTAACTCATTGACGGACTACAATACAAGAGACAAGAGATAGGGGTATCATAAACAGATCACAGGTGCATGGGGGTATTTTATACTTTTTTTGATCATCATGATGTTTATGGATATTATACTGACCACAGGCTATGTTACTGATTAAAATTGATGTTAACATTCCATTGGGAAAGTATGCATTTCAATACAAAGTGACTGATGCCAAAGAATGTAAAGTAGTGTTGCGTTATAGGTTATAGTATTCTGCTTCCTGACCTCATGACAGACAGATGTCCGTTGGAGCTGGTGTGAGTATAGTGTAATATAGTATAGTATAGTGTAATATATTGTGGTGTATATACTATAGCGTGGTATAGTGTAGGGTTCGGACTCCTGACCTCATGGCGCCCACAGACAGATGTCCGTAGGAGCTGGCTGCGTTGGGTCCACAACGTGAGTTGACGAAGGCCACCAGGGAGTTAGGGGAGGTCCTGATGACCGTCTGTAGGTCCACGCTGGCGTCAGACAGCGGAGAGATGGACAAGGCACGCTTCTTACTCAGCTTCAGCATGGAGCGAGGCGTTGAGAACCGCGAGCCTGGGGGAGGTGGAGGAGGGGGGAGAGAAAAGAGGAGACGGGGAGAGTGGGAGATAGAGAGGAGTGGGAGGGAGAGGATGTGTGAGGCGAGGAGATGAGGAGCAGAGAGGGGGTATTGCAATGAAAAACATTTTAAAGCGTTTTGCAGTGGAAATAAACACGACCCAGTTATTTTCTTACCGTCTCCCACATGGTCTAATCCCTGTCCGTGGGGGAAGCCGTGGTGGGATGACATGAGGTTATTGTGACAGTAGGGGGTGCTATTACCACCTGGACAAATACAGAGGATAGGAATAATTACATTATTACAGGCTTTAGAACACAGCCATACTGACTCCTGAGGGGCCGGAGTATCATGAAGAGGGTTCTTCTGGCTCTTTCTCAATTCATCAGAGTCGGGAGGAATGGAGGAAATACTAATTGAGATAGAGTCTCTCTCTTTGGTTATAATGAGGGTAAGGTCAAGAAGTGTTTCACATGACACAGGACTGAGACTCACCGTCGGAGGACTGATTCATGCTGCGGTGTCCCATCATGCTGTGCAGTGGGGGAGCCAGAGGGGGTCGCATGTACTGGTCCATGGGGTTGACCCCGGAGATAGGGTTGATTCTGGGGTTAGGGGTCATGGGGTTATACATGCTCCTGCAGTCCTGAGGATGGCCGCTGTGGAGCGGAGCGCGGAGGGACGACACATCAATGTAGGGAGACCTTCCTGAAGGAGCAAGGCTAGATATACAGACAGACATTGACATAGAGACATACAGAGAGACATGCAGAGAGACATGCAGAAGACATTGACATAGAGACATACAGAGAGACATGCAGAGAGACATACAGACAGACATTGACATAGAGACATACAGAGAGACATGCAGAGAGACATGCAGAAAGACATTGACATAGAGACATACAGAGAGACATGCAGAGAGACATACAGACAGACATTGACATAGAGACATACAGAGAGACATGCAGAGAGACATGCAGAAAGACATTGACATAGAGACATACAGAGAGACATGCAGAGAGACATACAGACAGACATTGACATAGAGACATACAGAGAGACATGCAGAGAGACATGCAGAAAGACATTGACATAGAGACATACAGAGAGACATACAGAGAGACATGCAGAGAGACATGCAGAAAGACATGCAGAAAGACATTGAAATACAGACAGGGAGGCATACAGAGAGACATGCAGAGAGACATACAGAGAGACATGCAGAGAGACATGCAGAAAGACATACAGAGAGACATACATAGAGACATACAGAGAGACATGCAGAGAGACATACAGAGAGACATACAGAGAGACATGCAGAGAGACATACAGAGAGACATGCAGAAAGACATTGAAATACAGACAGGGAGGCATACAGAGGGACGTAGACATACATAGAAAGCAACATACCCATACAGACATTCAGTTCAAAGAGACCAAGATATCAGCGTCTGAGTCACTCAAATGTAAGGGTAACCCAAGCTAAAGTGTGGCTTGTACATGCTCCAAGGCAGTATTCTTCAATTCTGGTCCTTCCAGCCTAACACTAACACACCTGATTCAGCTAGTCAAGGAAAAAGTTGATTGGTTGAATCAGGTGTGTTTAGTGCTGGGCTAGGACAAAAGCCTGCACACAAGGAGTAAAGAACAGTGATCTAAACCAGGGTTTCCCAAACTCGGTCCTAGGGCACCCCCTGGGTGAAGGTTTTGGTTTTTGCCCTAGCACTACACAGCTGATTCATTTATTTTGTAAGATTAACGATATAAAACATCCACATACAAATGACAACATACAGATGCACACAAACATCCACAACATCACCCCTGCCCAGACCCACATGCTCACACCCCTATCTCCAGCGCCCGCATCACTCTCCGCCACATGGCCTCAAACTGCACCATGTTGTTTCTCTCCGTTGCCCACGCACTTCCAACATTTAGATAATAAAGCATTTGACCTATCCATTGTGTTAACGATGGAGGATTGGTTGATTTCCAGTTATTAAGTATACGTTTTTTCAAGATGATTGATGAGAAAAGTATCGTACAACCCATCGGGTATCTCACTGCACCCCCGTATGCCATGTCTTGAAATATGCAGACAGAAGAATTAAAAGTAAGTTTACATTGTAATACTTCTTACAGCCAACCTTCTAACCCTGCCCATAGCCTTTGGACTTTATAGCATTCCCAGAAGGCATGGATTATTGATTCATCGTTAGTTTTACACTTAAGACATGACACTGATGTTGTGCTGTAGAATTTGTGAACTTTGTCTCTTGTGTAATACATTCTATACATTAGTTTATACTGGATTAAGAGTACATTTTAGTTAACTGTAATTTAGTTAGTTATGTATATCAGTTATTTGTAAGTCTTGGTTCCAATAGTTAATCTTTTTTCTAATATATTGTCAGTTGGATAGGCTCTCTGCAAGGTTTTGTATATCTTCCCTATCATATGAATATCCTTTTCTGACTCAAATAGGATTCCCTCAAGATTGCTCTGATGTCCAAAAGATTTCAAATAGAAATGTATTGATATGAAACTTTTAAGTTGCATGTATTTGAAAATACATTGGTCAGAAGTTGTTCATGTTCTTAGCTTTATCCTTTGAAAATAAACATGTGAAAGATTCTGGGGATGAGCATGCACATCTTCAATATGTACCCATTGTTCCTCTTTAGTGCATTTAACTACATTGCCTTCAGAAAGTATTCATACCCCTTGACTTTTTCCACATTTTGTTATATTACAGCCTGAATTTAAAATTGATTAAATTCACAATACCCCATCATGTCAAAGTGGAATAATGTTTTTCTATTTGTTTAACATTTTAATAAAAAATGAAAAGCTGAAATGTCTTGAGTCAATAAGTATTCAACCCTTTTGTTATTGTAAGCCTAAACAAGTTCAGGAGTAAAATGTGCTTAACAAGTCACATAATAAGTTGCATGAACTCACTCTGTGTGCAATAATAGTGTTTGTCATGACTACCTCATCTCTGTACCCCACACATACAATTATCTGTATGGTCCCTCAGTCGAGCAGTGAATTTCAAACACAGATTCAACCACAAAGACCAGGGAAGTTTTCCAATGCCTCGCAAAGAAGGGCACCTATTGGTAGATAGGTAAAAATGAATATCCCTTTGAGCATGGTGAAGTTATTAATTACACTTTGGATGGTGTATCACTACACCCAGTCACTACAAAGATACAGGCGTCCTTCCTAACTAAGTTTCCGGAGAGGAAGGAAACCGCTCCGGGATTTCACCATGAGGCAAATGGTGACTTTAAAACAGTTACAGAGTTTAATGGCTGTGATAGGAGAAAACTGAGGATGGATCAATAACATTGTAGTTACTCCACAATACTAACCTAATTGACAGAGTGAAAAGAAGGAAGCCATCTGCATATGTTAGCTTAGCACCTACTACCATACCCTGTTCAAAGGCACTTCAATTTTTTGTCTTGCCCATTCACCCTCTGAATGGCACACATACACAATCCATGTCTCAAATATCTCAAGGCTTAAAAATCCTTCTTTAATCGGTCTCCTCCCCTTCATTTACACTGATTGAAGTGGATTTAACAAGTGACATCCATAAGGGATCATAGCTTTCACCTGGATTCACCTGGTCAGTCTATGTCATGGAAAGAGCATGTTTTGTATACTCAGTGTATGTCGCAAGTAAAAGCCCTGGGTGGCGAGTTGATACAATTCCAAGTCTGGAAGGTTAAAACCACTCTCAGACTTAGGAAGATGTAAAACTTTTCATTTCATTCTATGAGTTTTATTTGCCCATATAAAGTATGTTATGACCGAGTACAATTTTTTAAAGAATGTCTTCAGTGAGGTATTGGTATTACCGAGAATAAAACAAAAAAATGTTGGGAGCCATGCCATTATGAAGAGGTTTATTCAACCTGTAAGATTTTGGAAAGATTGTGCCATTTAATTAGATCTGCTTTCATATTGTTGAGTAATGGGATAAAGTTATCTTTATTTATACAACGGCTGGGTCTAATCCTGGATGCTGAGTGGTTAAAACCACATTCCAGCCGGTGTCTATTCCACAAGTTACCACTGGCTAAAGCTATGACGTTGAAATGCTTATTTACTCTGCTCCATCTCACTGCGCAATCCACTGTCTCATTAGCCCAGCCAGACAATTTATAAAAGTATCTAGACATTATCTTCCACTTCTTTTAGATTAGCAATTTGTTTTCAATAGTGGAGATTTGTATAAATCTTGCTGTCTGTCTCTGACATTTGCAACATTGTTTCTGTATTGAAATTCGATCTCCAGCTGTCTCAACGAACGACCAGCCGGCTTGGGTAGCAACAATAGATTTGTGTCGGGACTATATCTTGTGGAAGGATGAAATTGTATGAATTAATTCATAAAAATAACGTTTTTAATGAAAATATGTACCTTCTTATTTGAATATGTTGGTAACCCGTTGTATAAAAGTGATAATGCCCTCAAAGCCGGTGTTTGGAGGATATACAGTGGCTTGCGAAAGTATTCACCCCCCTTTTTCCAATTTTGTTGCCTTACAACCTGGAATTAAAATTGATTTTGGGGGGGTTTGTATCATTTGATTTACACAACATGCCTACCACTTTGAAGATGCAAAACATTTTTTCTTGTGAAACAAACAAGAAATAAGACAAAAAAACTGAACACTTGAGCATGCATAACTATTCACCCCCCCCCCCCAAAGTAAATACTTTGTAGAGCCACCTTTTGCAGCAATTACAGCTGAAAGTATCTAAGGGTAAGTCTCTATAAGCTTGGCACATCTACACACTGGGATTTTGGCCCATTCTTCAAGGCAAAACTGCTACAGCTCCTTCAAGTTGGATGGATTCCGTTGGTGTACAGCACTCTTTAAGTCATACCACAGATTCTCAATTGGATTGAGGTCTGGGCTTTGACTAGGCCATTCCAATACATTTAAATGCTTCCGCTTAAACCACTCAAGTGTTGCTTTAGCAGTATGCTTAGGGTCATTGTCCTGCTGGAAGGTAAACCTCCGTCCCAGTCTCAAATCTCTGGAAGACTGAAACAGGTTTCCCTCAAGAATTTCCCTGTATTTAGCGCCATCCATCATTCCTTCAATTCTGACCAGTTTCCTAGTCCCTGCCGATGAAAAACATCCCCACAGCATGATGCTGCCTCCACCATGCTTCACTGTGGGGATGGTGTTCTCGGGGTGATGAGAGGTGTTGGGTTTGCGCCAGACATAATGTTTTCCTTGATGGCCAAAAAGCTCAATTTTAGTCTCATCTGACCAGAGTACCTTCTTCTATATGATTGGGGAGTCTCCCACATGCCTTTTGGCGAACACCAAACGTGTTTGCTTATTTTTTTCTTTAAGCAATGGCTTTTTTCTGGCCACTCTTCCGTAAAGCCCATCTCTGTGGAGTGTACGGCTTAAAGTGGTCCTATGGACAGATACTCCAATCTCCGCTGTGGAGCTCTGCAGCTCCTTCGGGGTTATCTTTGGTCTCTTTGTTGCCTCTCTGATTAATGCCCTCCTTGCTTGGTCTGTGGGTTTTGGTGGGCTGCCCTCTCTTGGCAGGTTTGTTGTGGTGCCATATTCTTTCAATTTTTTTAATAAA